GGATGCGGCCAAAGATCGATGTGGATACATATGAAGATTTTTTGTAGGATATGCATGCCGACAATACTGAACCGGTTGTGCTTGACTAATTAAATCAATGAAAACCCATTGCTGATTCTCCTTACAGGTTGTTCGACTCAATTAAATTTTCTTGAAGCACAGGGAAAGCAGTGTTTGTCTTTGTTTACGGTTAACTTAAGCTGTGTTCTAGTTCACTAGATGTGGATTGCAGCAACAGGTTTAGTTGGGTTTTGTGGAAGAGATGATCCTGAAGAAACTTGACTTGCTGGGCCGGTTTGTTCTGCAGGGTCGTCACGAACTTGTTTGAAGAAAACAGATTTAAAGGACTGTTAATGGCTACTTCACCTATACCTCTGGATGGTTTGCCATTAAATTTTTTAGTACACAATTTCGGGACATTAAGTGAGTATTTCTTGGCGATGTTTATGTGTTGTAAGTTGTCCAATATTCTCGTTCAGCCTTAAGTGGCAAAATGATTCATGGGTTTGCACAAGGCATTTGTCCGCAAACGTCTTGTCCAGCTGTTTGCTAAGTCCAAATCTGTTCCTTGAACTACGGTGAGACTGTTTTTTGATAGGTTAGGGGATCCTCATGAGCCACTTAGTCACAATTTATTTTGTTCGTCAACAGAATTACGCCCGGCTTCTGCAGCATGAAGTCATACACTCATGCGTGTTGAAATATCTATCCTTAGAATACTGCAGCTGAACTCACTCAGAGTAACTTTTGCTTTCTGATATTCTTTATTCGTACCTATATATCAAGATAGACTTACGTGTTACTGTCTCTATTTTTCAGCTCTATGGCAAATTTTGTTGTATCGCTTATTGGTGTCTTATTTCAGCCACGTGGTTTTTCTGTTTGGTAACCCAGTTTCGTCTACTTTATCAGGACACAATGTAACCAGTTCGATGATGGAACCTGGTTGATCTAAGCTAAATATATTTTCTATGAATAAAAACTCATTGGATTCAGCGTCAGATTCCCAGAGTGAAAGGTTGATAGCCTCCCGTTGTATCTTATAGGTTTTAAGGTCAAGCGTACTATCTTGGTTTCAAGTTCATCCCACTATCCCAGAGAATACTTCACCGGGGTCGGCTTAGGCGTCCGGAAGACTAGAAAACAATTTCTACTCATGCACCATTTTGAGATATGACTAATTTGGTGAAATAAACCCGTTGAACTTCAAATGGTCGAAAACTATCGGAATCTTTCAGTTGCGATTCTCTGACTGTGTGTGTCTCACAAAAGTTACCTCACGGTTTAGTTGCTATGATATTTGATACTTGCAATATGTATTGACTGCCATCACCTATTACGTAAAAGACTACTGAGTAATCCTGAAGAGTCTCCTACCGGTTTTGCTGCTTGTGGAGCTCAGTAGGTTGGAGCAGCCCCTAAGGACCAACCCTACCTCAAGACATTATAAGTAGTGTGCCATGTTAAAGTATAAGATTAATTTTTTCTCCCGACGTTTTACTGACGTGGAGGCATTTTTTTATGCACTTCTAGAAAGCTGAAGTCTCTAACACTGAAGGATATGGGTTAAACTAAATTTGCATTATCATTTCTGTTGTACCATGAGTTGACTAAATGAGATATTGTAAACTGTGCCAACCAACTAACTGTTCGGAGGATCTTCGCAAGTGGTACATGAGGTTTACTTCAGTCTATCATTGTCCTTTCACGAAGTTGGAGCATTGATAGTCATTGTCTGCGCGTTCCGTTATTTCAGCACATTTTCGAGAACGATCTGGCATGCGCACAAACAAACGGGGGAGTTTGTGATAAGTAGAATTGTTCACAGACATAATGGGCAGAAAAAAGCGTGCCCTGTCTGTGTTTCTTAGGCAAGCAGTCCATGTGTGGATTGACTGTACTAAGTGAGTTCATGTACCTTTACTGGCTCCCGAAGATTTACTCACAGCGCAGCAAGCTCCGTAGACTCCGTTTGGTGAATTCATCTACTAGTAAGAACTATATACATATCTTCAAACAGTTCTGTTTTCTTTAGGGTGTACAGTCCAGGTGGAGAGGTATAAACTGGTCAATGTGTCGTAGCTCTTTTATCACGTTGTAGTGGTTCGCGTTCAGGAGACCGCTACTGCCCACGAGTTTTGGAAAATCCATGCGAAATATGTATCCTTTTGGTTCAAAACTAGCCTACATCGCCATAATATTTTGCAACGAGCTCCCAAACTTGACCATATCTGAATTCGAGCTGAACGTGATTGCTGAAATTACGCAATTCCAATTGTGGGAGCTAAAACTTCGAGCCAAGTGACAACATCTCTCTCTGTGAGCGCATAAACTGAATCTGTAAGATTATGAGTGTTTCAAAGGATCAATGTAGAACACGCACACATCAGCTGGAGGTTTTATGCGTAGAGCTTCTGGCTTTATCTTTGAATAGTCGCGCTACGGAGGCTCCTATCTGTGAGTAGTCTAACAAGTCCATCGGGAAACGATGATGAGTTTCTGCAACTCTTTACGCTCATTCTAGCAACCTCCAAAAGGTTCATTATCTTAACCGGTAATTCTGCTTCCAAAAACGTGTAAAACTTTGTTGAACAAATTTCCGAGAACAAACACATTTGTGTGACTTAATTTGGGTTCGTTAAGCCACGTTCGTGCAAAGCAAGGGCAGCAACATTTCCACAAAATATGTACCAGGGTCCTGAAGGTTCATTCTCAGAGATTCTAAAAGCTTAGTACCCTTGGTTATCGTGTCAGCGTCGATGAAGCTGGTATATAACATTTTTAGCACTCGTTTCTGGTGCGCGATGTAAATGGGTATACTATACATATAAAAGGACTAAAATATCATTGAAGTCACGCACTGTTAAAGTTAGTTGGAGTTATCAGTACCAAAGCAACAGAAAGAAACCACTCCAAAACCGTCTATGCACACGGAGCTAGCTTGTGAGCTGCGATTTCCAGTGTGAATAACCGACGGAAGCTTCGGAGGCTAGATCTTTTCCAACGGCATTCCGAAAGAAATCATTGGTTTGCTTTGGCGACATGTTTGCAGTAAAGCCTTGGCAGTGGATGAAGCCATATAACGGTTCAATCTTAGACCTGTTGAGGACCTTTGTACGAACGCTAAAACGTGACATGTTCTATGTTTGACCATGCATCCTCATGGAAACCGATCTGTTTGTGTGATGAAATAGCCGCCAAAGCATCAAGTAAACTGAAAATTCCATGAACCATATATAATTACAGCGAACTACGGTAGCCCTTTTGGAGAACAACTCCTTGGGTACTCTGCATTAGAAAGGATTGTGTTACTCTGTGGACTTGTCCTATGTTCGATTTCAATTTTTACCGTATGTTACTTTCCCATAGATTTTTGAACGGTATCAATAGTTATACATCTTTTTTCTGATTTCTGCACTTTAATTCACTGGAGAGAAACCCTACTGTGTATGCCTATGAAGGGTATAACTTTGCCATTGGGAGTCAGCCTTTCTCTCACAATCACCTCTTCCAACCCCCCTGTAAGACCGGGTTTGGGCGGTGTGACTTTAACCCGTCAATTCAAAGCCATATAAACGTAGTTTTAGCTCGCAGAATGCGGACTTTAGAAGTGCCAACAGTTTGAGAGGCATTCTGGCAAAATATTTGAATAGAAATCCAATAGAAGGTTACATTTGGACTGAGAACTGCCTATTATTTTTGTTCATATTACAATAGCAAATGCTAACATCCGGTTTTACGGTTTACCATGTCAAATAGGAAATTTTCCGGATCCACTTTGCAGGTATGCTATACCGTTTCTGAGTAATAAGGTGTCTATAAATCAGTTCAGTACTATGAGTGAAACAATGAGTAATTTCTCGACTTCAATCCTGAACAGCTTTAGGGTGAGAAACTTTCCAAAATACCAGACTGATTTTATCCTGGTCTTTGCTCGTTCACTGCACCAATGTGAAGCGACTGAAGAGGCTTATATGCATCGTTTTCTTGTGAATTGGGGGTATCATACCTATTAGTTGTGTATTCGCACAAAGTCTTCGCTGGTTGTCGCCAAGCTTAGTAGGCTACCAAGTGGCACAACTTCTTTAAAGGTATTTACCCAACAATGCTCCCGGGCGTAATTGATACGTTAACTTAGAGGGAGAATTACCGTTCGATAATGCGGTCATCTGCTATTATAATCATTATTATTATCATTATTAGTAATGTAGATAAATCGCGCAGTGTTTGACAATATGCTGCTTTGCTTGGATGATAAGTAAAAAAAGTCAAGCACAATTAGTTGAATGTCGTTAATGGGCATGCTATTTTACAGAGTTCCACGAATTGTGAATTGCGGAGGGAATTCATACTTATAGCATTTGCATGAAATAATGGTTAACTAATCCATGGTGAGGTCAATATATCTCACTCTCAACCCAACATACCGGTCTAGACTGTGGTTTGCTACAATGTGGTAAAATGGTTTAATTATCAAGAATCATCCAATATCCTTGCAATTGGATCGTATCAGTTCCTTTTGAAGCTATCAGCCCGAGTTCTGACTCAGATACACTTCGACCGCAATCATCACTCTCGTCGCGTCCTGGTGGCATGGACCACTAACTCAACGAACTGGCCCGGTAAGTAAATTAATCCGTGATGCCTGATCAGCTGTTATGAAAACCGTGAAACATGTGTCCAAGTTTGCTATTCGCTGATCTGCCCGCTGTTTTCTATTGGTCGTTATTTTTATTGTCTGGAAATGGTTCGCATAATACCCACCGGTCATCCCACGCGAAAACCTATCTCAAATTTGAAAGGATATAACAAAGTGCTATTTTCATGCGGAGTGTGAAAATAGATTCAACCGCATAGGAGGGAAAAATTTAAACAACTTTTGAATACAAGTTGCACTTTTCCTAATGTCTCATTTGTCACACTCTCACCACAGTCCAGTCTCACCCCGTTCGTCTTCATACAGTGCCTCACACAAGACGTCCAACAATATCCCTCCGTACATGTGCTCAACCAGATACCTCGAAGCGCGGATGCAGAATCCTGTTTCGTATACCGTCACTACACATAGTGATAAATGCACACACCACATATCCACTTCGGAATCACTTGAATACATTCCTCAGAAGCAGTCTTCCAAACGAGAGTGTTGCATCAAGACCAAGTTCTATACGAAGAAGATTGTTGCCTTCTTACTTTCACACGTCGGCCTAGCTTCGCTTGTTGTTTTGTATACAATTCTTGGTGGTTACGTATTCTGTTGGCTAGAGGGATCAGCCGAGAATAACACACGAATAGTGGTGCTTCAAAATCGCACACAGCTCGTAAAGGAACTCATACGGTTAAACCAGTACACACAGGCCAAATTGTTAACTCTGTTTGAGGCCCATGTGGCCAAGCAGGTCAGTGAAGAGTATTACCGTGTACGGCTAAAGGCAGCGTCTGGAACGGGTGGGAATTGGCCCCAAAACCTTTCAAATATTTCTGAGTGGAAGGTTAGATCTCATGCCGATCGGGAGAAACTAACAGCTGGCCTGGCATGGTATCTGGCTGGATTAGGCTGGCCTCGAAATATTGTCCCCCCATCATGGTTCAACAATGAAAGTCCTCCGCCATTCGAGCCAATAGCCGATCAGAGTTACAAACCAGACACTGAATCTACCGTAGCAAGTTTGACGAACGCAACCGGCCAAGCTCCCAACCTCACCAGTCACAATTCGACAAACCCATTTCCTCTTGATGTGTTAGAATTTTTGCCGGAAACGATTCTTGGCGTTTCCACCAAAAGTATTATTTTACCTCTCATTTTTAACATAACCAAGGAGATTGAATTCAAATGGGAGCAGTTGGTGGAGAGCTATACGAGAAATTTGGTCAGTGCAATCAAAGACAAGGGTTGGAATGGAGCTGATGAAGAATTGGGTTGGAATTCTGAAGGAAGCATTTTGTACGCAGTGACCATAATCACCACGATTGGTAAGTTCACAAAAAAGGCCGGGGCATTTATTGCTTACATATAAGCACTTGCTTGGTTACAAATGGCATAAAACCTGTGGTACATTTACCGTCGATGAAATTAAGTGCACAAAAGTACGTCTTCCTGGCAATTTGAACCCACATTCATCCAGGTTATCTGAGTGTTAGTTCATCCAATTGCTTTAACCTAGTTTGCAGCGTCTTAAGGACGGTTCGGTAGCTAAATTAGTTAGATTTCCCTGACTGTAAGTAATAAGAAACCTTAGGAATAAATAGGAGAAAGGTGTACACTCATGAAATTGGAACTAACTGTTAACTCGTCTACTGAAATTAGCGTGAAGAAATTTGCCTAAAATAGTGTAGCGGCCTTATCAAACGTGTTATTAGACAAGTTAAAAGGAAACCACTCTTGCTTAACGACAATTTCTTACACTTTAGAGCGAAACCAAGAGAGTTTCAACATATTTTTATCGCTTGATGGAAAACCAGTACAAACTCGATTTGCCATTCAATACATAGACAGAGAAGTTAACTAGTAAGCCATTGATTCTTTCCTCAGACGGTAAGAATAGATTGTATAGGAATTACAAAGTTTGAACGGCACCATAAGACATCTGACAGAATTATTCGACTATTCCAGGGCGATTTAAAGACTATGCTTATATATGTAAACTGTTTGATGGGCTAATTCAGCGCTTGAACTTGTAACTTAAAGTTTTTTGATGGTAAAGTCTAAGCTTGATTAATGATAGCTGGCTGGTGGTTAGACAACTCCGGGTTTTTTGACCCGGTGACCAAGGTTCACATCATCTAGCGTCCGGAAAGAATGATGATCTACTCGTCTGGTAAGTGTGTAAACGCGGTCTCATTGACTTATTTAGCGTTACTCAGTTCTCCTCATACTACTTTTCTAGCAGGTCCCAAAAATTGTGGCAACTAGATTCTAGTAGAAGTACTGAATACTGTTGCTATTCAGTCTATGATTACGATGACATTGATGACAAAAGTTATCAAATTTGGTCTGGTTCCAAACAAGAAACAACTTTTGTTTTGCCCTCTCCAAAACTCTTGGAAACGTTCATTGATCCTGAAGCATTTAACAGTTACTTTTCAGGTTATTGAGCCTGTATAACTAAATAACAGTTTACTGTTTGCTTTGTAGTCCGCATTGTGCTAAGCCGTTTCATAGTTAACCCAGATGTGCACAACGATGTTTCTTGGCCATTGGATCGATTCATGGTAAACAAAATGCAAAACGACACCTGATCTTACCGAATTACTTATTGTTTTCTCTTAACTGACGAAATCTGCAATACGTAACCAGCTGCCCACGATCTGTTAGAAATTCAGTGAGTTATCATCTCAAATCTCTTCTACTTTTGTTGTCAAAAACTGTGGTGAAATCATAAGCTTTAAGGACGGAGGTGAATTCCCCAACCTTTTGCTCACCACCGGGGCGTGAAAACACCTTTATGGGTGCGGTATTCAGCACGTTTAGACTCATACACGTGACTCTAATCTGCCACCGTAGTTGAGTGTAAGACGCACTCCAAGGGGAAACATGGTCCAAGCTATATATTGACTTATTCAGATAGTTTGGCGAGGACGGTGGACGTCGCTCAGGATCTAGATTTGGTCGACGGCTTTAGAAGAAAATGTGGCTGGATCGCAAAAGCCTCGGTTTAAAGGACACTTTACCCATCTTGAGATTTGTTGGGTAGGATCGGATACGCTTGCTTTGGTCACGAGTTGTGGATGTTTTCATCCTGAATCACGTGTCCAACATGCAGCCTATGTGTAGTATCGCACTCGGTCCAACACAGCTCTCCAGTTGTTCTTTCACGTCCAATAGCTGTCCGACAAATGACAAGAGCGTCTATATGGCCATTCTTCCCCGTATCGCCAAACGATGGCGATGCTTCACCAAAATACACATCAGTATCATTCAAGTTTTATTTAAACCAGGGAAAGTACCATGAAGCTTGGTGTTTTGGTCAGCCTGTCCGCTCTTTCCCATAAAAGTTGGAAAAGCTTCAAGTTTCAAGAGTACAGGTTAAAAGGGATTCCAAAAAGGTAATTCCTTTATTTTCTAAAAAATGAATGTAAAACAAACAGAGGAGCCGACAATATCGATGCTTGATGACCGGCCGAGAATCAACACGTGATTACTCTTCCACGGTTTGACTTCCCAGAAAAGTACAATGCGAGAAAGCATGCGACTAGACCAAAAGGATCGAAAGGTTGATCCCTGGTCAATACAGCTTTTATACACCCACTGAGTGACTCTCAAATGATTTGGATTCTTTGGAATCCCAGAATTTCCTTAGTAAAGCAAATGAGACCAGCTGTAACCTGGGAAAACCCCAAAATTTCCTCCACCCAACTAAAAAACAATTAAAATTTGCGTTCGCCAATATTTGAAAATTTTGAATTTTTCATTTATGAGTATCTTGCTGACTACTTCCTCATCTATATAGCCCCACTGACAATAATCCGAGGTAAGACAATGAAAACTATCGGTCATGTATGCGGGTTAAGGACACTCACCTGTCGACGATCAAATCTGTTATTAATGAAACCTCTCTCCTGTTACCACAAATGCAGAAATTGTCCCGGTTCTCCTAGTAGTGCCACTTTCGACATTTGAGTTTCACAACTCGGTGGGAGAGCTTCACTTAGACGTGGTGGAAACGTGGACCGTTCATCGGCACCAAAGGTCAAAGGCACAGCATTTGCATCCTGCATTGTTAAATCCCACATGGTCATTTGAACTTGACTTGCAGTCAAATTAGATTAGCTCGTTACGTAACCTTACGCGCCGCTCCTCCCGGCTTGCACACTGTTTCAACAGATAGCATCTGCGCTTTGTGAAGTTCAGTTACACTGGCCTTGGAAATGAACAGAATTAAGAACGTTCAAATCTGATTGCTGTATTTCAAAGCGAAGGCTTCCAGTGTATGTTCCATCTTAAGGCTCTCTAGCTTTAGGTTAGCCTTTGAAAACTGCAAGCATCTGTTGGGCATCCTGTTTAGCACTGTTCCACTTTCCTTCGAATTTGTTCAAACCAGGAAAAAGCAGTGACACCATTCTTAATGAAATGCTTTCAGTTCAAGTTGCATATTCTACTCGTTTGCTTCACAAGCAGCACTGAACGCAACCTTGTTGATCCTTGAGCTATGCCTTTCTTAGCTATGTACGAGAGCAAACACCCATCTCAAGTCTGAAGTCTTGATTGCATCACGTTTTCTTCGAAGGGATCGTTCATTAAATTTAGGTGTCGCTCCCTAAAATTGCACACTGGGGAGGGTTATGCAGTTATGATTAAAATCAATAAGGGATGAGAACTGTTTGCATAAGTCAAATAAACAGCGTACCAATGTTCTACACTGATAGACCAAGAACAAGAATTACTAGACGCTTTATACGTTCCAAACGTGTTCGGCGTTAATGTTACATCACTGAAAATGGCAGCAAGACTCTACTCATGACTTGAGAAAAACTCTTTGGGGCTTGATCATAAAAGAATGTTTTATTAAACTAACTTGTCACGCTTTAAGAGCGTTTGCACCGAACTATAGGGTAACTTTTGCGTAGTTGTCTACTAATGTGGATGGAAGTTTCATTTAAGCTTCCAGCTAACAGCACCGGGCTGTCCTTTGAAAGGAACTTCCAACGCAGCCACTATTGTTTAACTCCAGAAATGTGCCAACTGAAGAGACGCCTTTCTTTGGTACAACATGTCAGGGAGGAAGTGATCGTCTCTTAACGTAGTATCCATAAGTGGAACAAAGAAATAAGGATGTGTTCACATCACTCCAACCAAACAATTTTTGGGTCTGTCGGGACACGGTTCTTTCGAATAGTCTAGAGAGAAGAAGGAAGCCCCAAAATTTAGTCACTCTCCGATTAGGACATATCAGCAGTGCACATCCATGGGGGTACTGAGATTTGGATCTCGGATAGTTGATACTCGAGTCAATCGTGTTATCCAAGCTCCATCAGCACAAGTTTTTGGGATCAAGAACATAAACCGAGAAGGACGCATAAGCTTATGTATTGTGAGTAGTTTGTCCGACAGTGATGAACTAGTGGAAACTTGATTGAATCACCTCCTAGGCTCCCAAGGTAGACAACGCGGTGACACTGACTATATGTATGCTCTAGCGATGGGGTCTAATCAGAGGGAGTAGGATATTGTTAGACGTTTCTGTGTAGAATAACCGATATAACAGGTGGACCGCTCAAACCAGTGTCAGGCTAACAACAACTCCACAAATGCCCTCAACATCTACAGCTTAATTTATCGAAAATGTAAATGCGAGTGAACTAGTTCAACGAACAAGTTAAATGGAACAGGTCGAAGAAGTGTTTAGCAACTCCGCCACTGCTGTTCGACACCATTTTGCTCTGCGATTCATTTGACCCAAGGGCAATATACCAAACTTTTGCGTCTTCTTAAATTTCATTTTTGGATGTCTGGTTCCGGTAGGTGGGGTTCGATTGAGTGGACACCCTTCCAAGCCCATTTCACTGCACTCGCAAATACTCGCGACCCACTTTGGTAACCTAACTGATTCGTGATTTTTTCGCCTCTGAATTCCTCAGTGCCAGTTGGACTGTTTTGTCAATGAACACAACATTACACCCGACCGGTTTTGTGCATCAGGTTTCTCAGTTATGTAGATAATGTTTGCTTTCGTACAACCTATGCAATGTCCACAGATAAGCAATGCGGAGTTGCATTCTTCTGAAAGAATTCGAAGCGAAGGTTTAATCATTGAACGGGGTTTAGTGTGCTGTATAACCTTGAGCCTCCAGTGTTTGCACATAAAAATTCAACGCATTGATGGTTGAGCTACGAATTCATGAAAATCTGAGTTCTTTCAATAGCTAAGTAATTAGTTTTTCATTGCATAGATCACATTTGTCTCCAATCCGAAAATGTGACTTTATTTAAGCAGCCATCGATGTGGACTTCACTGCGCTTTGACCGGTAAATAGCCGGCCGAACTTAAAGACCGTGAACAGCAAAGCACTTGCTCAT